GCTTTGAAATCTGTCGTTCAGGAATTGCGGCAGTCGTAGCTGTTGCTGGAACAGCCCGAGAAATAGCAAATGGTACATATGGTCCATTTTCTATATAGTGTGGAATTTCAGGATCCACACCTTCCAGAAAGAGGGACATCCGGTTCTTGCATAGACTAAAGTTGTCACGAACGAACTGGGGAGGTTTGGCATGAGAGCCATTGTCTTGAATGTGTATGCTTGTGTTTTGCAAAGCCATTTAAAAAAGCAGTAAAATTTATCTTAAAGAAGAAGATAAAATAATGCAGAAAAACAACCAAACAACTTAGAAAAGATATAACACTACTCTGATACCACTTGTTGGTCCCTTGAGGGTCTACAAGATATGTATAACAGTTTGTAGAATGAGGGGGATGAATACAAACAAAGAGTTTTCAAATTTAAAATGTACATTGATAAAAAAAATATCAATACAAATTTTACAAGACTGTTTGCGGAAAGATAAGGTAAGAAAACTTATCTAAACAATCTTTGGTTACACACAGATTCTTAGCAAATAAGAAAAGATATGTTGTAAAGAGAATTTATTTTACTTAGGCTTAAAGAATGCTCAAAGTAAGAATTAGGTTAAGAGAGTGTGTTGTAAGCGCACTCTGCATGGAGAAGAAACACTTCTATTTATACCCAATGCAATAAATGTTCATTTAATGCAATATGGTAAGGTTAGAGTGGATGTCAAGCTTTAAGAGGAAGGCGTGTCCTTTGCTACATTGAATAGTACAAAAAGTCTATTCATGAGTAGACATCCTTACCTAAAGTTGGTGGGTAATAGAGTCAACTAGTCGGCTCCGTACCGTACTAACATTTAGAAAGGGTATGGGTTTGTCATTTGTGTGCATAAGGACAAGACAACAACAATCGTGTTTGGCAAGCTTCCTTTGATCGCTGAATGCTGGAATAACCTGGAGGTCTCTTCAGTATTCGTTGAGGCTTGAGCAGTCTTCACACATATGTAGACAGGCTTGTAATCACTGAGTACCGCTTCAGATCACGTATTTGCCAGTCTCTAATCTTCAGATTCAGTCTTCGACTTTGGCTGAAGGTTCTTTGGTGTGAGTGTTGTCTTCTTGAAGTATCGTTGTCTCTGATTGAATTACAATACAAGTTCTTCAACGGTCACTGAACAGACTCAGTGATGATCGTTGGAACTGAAAAGACAGAAACATAAATACATCGTATAAGTAAAAAGGGATTATTATCAAATCACTGAGAGAGAGGATCAACATATTCCCTGCCTACAGTCCTAAGATCAATAAGAAGACAATTAAAACGTTAATATACATCAGACAGTGTCTCAGTCTTTCCACAGGGTAAGCTTTCATACTGCCTTACTGAATTAATCTTCCTTGATTCTTGAACCTGAGAGGTTCCTTCATATTGAACACAAAGAGTGTCCCACATGGATTTACAAGTCCTGAGTTTCATCACTGAGTAATAAACCTCGTCAGGAAAAGACATAGCTATTATAGACCTAGCACGAGTGTCTATAGCTATTTTCTTCTTGTCTTCATCACTCCATTGATGAGGGAGTTTTGGAATCTGCCATTCAGGAATCGCGGCAGTCGTAGCTGTTTCAGGAACAGCCAGAGAAATAGCAAATGGTACATATGATCCATTTTCTATATAGTGTGAAATTTCAAGATCCACACCTTCCAGAAATATGGACATCTGATTCTTCCATAGACTAAAGTTGTCTTGGATAAATCGGGGAGGTTTGGCAAGAGAGTCATTGTCTTGAACGTGTGTGTTTGTGTTTTGTAAAGTCATTTTAAAAACAATAAAGTTATCTAATGAAGGAGATAATGTAATGCAGAAAAACAACCAAATAACTTGAGAAGATAGAACATTGCTCTAATACCACTTTTGGTCCCGTTAGGGTCTACAAGATGTGTATAACAGTTTGTAGAAGGAGAGATGAATACAAACACAGTATTTTCACATTTAAAATATATATTGATAAGAGAATATCAATACATATTTTACAAGATTGTTTGCAGAAAGATAAGGTAAGAAAAACCTATCTAAACAATCTAAAATTTACACACTTAATCTTAGCAAATAAGAAAAAATTTGTTGTTAAAGAAATAGAAGAAAGTAAGTTCTATCTGGGAGAGAACTTGTTTAGAATACAATGAGAGGGATTCTAACTTGCTCTTGAAGATGAGTGTATATTTGTTCTTAGATGTGTGTTCTTTCTTTTTTATAAAGATGTATCTCTGCATGGAGATAAACACATCAATTTATACCTGTTGCATTAAATGCATATTTAATGCAATGTAGTAGGGTTAGAACGTGTGTCAAGCCTTAACGGGAAGGCTTGTCCTTTGCAACAATGAATAGTACAAAAGCCTATTCATGAGCAGACATCCTTTCACAAAGTTGGTGGGTAATGGAGTCAACTAGTCGGCTCCGTATCGTACTAACTTTTAGAAAGGGTATGGGTTTGTCCTTTGTGTGTATAAGGACAAGACAAATTCAATCGTGCTTAACAAGCTTCTTTTGATCACTGAATGCTGGAATAACCTGGAGGTCTCTTCAGCATTCGTCGAGGCTTGGGCAGTTTTCACACATATGTAGACAGGCTTATAATCACTGAATACCGCTTCATATCACGTACTCGTCATTCTCTAATCTTCAGTTTCAGTCTTCGACTTTCGCTGAAAGTTCTTTGGTGTGAATGTTGTCTTCTTGAAGTATCGTAGTCGTTGATTGGATTTACAATACAAGTTCTTCAGCGATCGCTGAACAAACTTAGTGATGATCGTTGAACTAAAAAACAGAAACATAAATACTTCGTATAAGGTAAAAGGGATTATCATCACATTACTGAGAGAGAGGATCAACAGAAGTCAATGTCCAACCCTTCATCATCAAGTTCAATTGGTTTCTCTACACTGTTAGTAAACTTGGAGAAACTGTGTATCTCCCTTAAGTTGTGACTGAATCGCCTCCTACCTGTTAATGAAACAAGTTAAAGTCCTCAATGGTTATCGATTTCATTGTTCTGTTCATAAAAGAATCATACATCAATTATCGCCCGCCATTTTTCTTCAAAATACTCAATATCGATTTTGGTAAGAGTATATTTCTTAATCGATTGGAGATATGCTCCTGATTGAAATGATAGCGATGAAAGGGGAAGATTCAAGGAAACTGTCGATTAGAGAGTGTATCATGATATTGTGTTTTACCTTTTTGCCCTTTTTTCAATTAAAAAATAAACTTTTTTTATTTCCTAAAATAAACTAAACTAAGTTTGACCATTAATCAAGAAAATAGATGGATGAGATTGGTTTACATGGTTTATACAAATGAGAGTGGTTTTCATTTGTTCACTCATCTATTAATATATATATATATATATATATAGAKAGAGAGAGAGAGAGAGAGAAAGAGGGGTTGGTTATTATACAATCATTTACATTTGTACAATCATTTACATTTGTACAACCAATACAACTCAATCTTAACCGTTCATTTAATTTGATGAATATGTGATTTCATAGAAGTTTTGATTGTTTCCTAATATAAAGTATTGATCATAATTAATGAACATTATTCATCTTTCATAAATATTCAAATCATAATAAATAAACTCTCATCATTTCTATAAATATCTCAATTAATTGGGTTGCATTGATTGTACAAATAAACATAATTGCATTTGAAATATACCCTATATATATATATATATATATATATATAACAAATTAAATAATAGATGATCGAAATATAAAGCTAGATAGTATATATGTAATATAATGTAAATATA